CTTTGGGGCCAGCGTGCAGTCTGAGTCTTGAGAGTCACACATCAGCGCATCATTTTCAATTTATCTTTTTCACCCGCGGGGCTCCACAAACAAATATCGCGGTATTCTTCCAGCCTGGCTTCGGATGGCTTGTGGATTCTGTTGGCTTTCGGTCTTTCGTAAGTTTCCATAACTTCTGTGGGCAGTTGCCTTTTGGTAGTTTCTCTGAGGTTTCTCTTGGCTTTTGTTGGCTACTGTTGCCTGCTGCTGGCTGAGCATGTGCTCCTCTCCTGGAACCCCTGTCCCTCTCCTGATTGTATTATATAAAATGTGGAAATCCATCGCGCAGTGATATATGATCATGTATACAGTAGTAGGAAAACAGACGGGTCAGTTTTGGTTTTCTTTCATTGTAATGCTGGAGCGTGATAAGCTGTTACCCAAGTTTGTGGGACCGCAAATGGTGCAAGGCCTGACATGTTCTTGGCAACATGGAAGAAGAAGATGGATCATACCCTTGAAGGATGGAGACAGGCCCGCATTTTTTCAGAGATGTCAGTCTCTTTATAGTAGTTATATACTAGTACTTAGTACTAGTACATCCAGGCCGAGATTGATTCTGTTGAATCGTTTCTTCAACCGGTAACCTCACTTACATATACATTTCCTTTTCTTGATCACGAAAGCTAGCATGCTAGCTGAGTTCTTCTTTGCTTTAGCAATTGGTAGTGGGATGAGCTGCGTGCCTTAAAGCTTGATATATCACACTAAGGGGGGGGGGGCCTGGCCCGCCCACCTTGGCGTGATATATCACGCTAACTTCCCCCCCCCACGGCCACGGTTCGACTCCCAGCTGCGCCGTGTAGAGGGGGTTGGTTGAACGTGGTTGGTTGGGTGTAAACGGTGTAAACGGTGGCTTGGTGTAAACGGTGCTGCTGCTGCCGCTCTGCTGCTAGCTGCTTGCTGCTGCTGTTTGCTGCTGGTGGTGCTGGTGCTGCTGCTGCTGCTTCTGCGGCTTGGTGCTGCGCTGCTGCTGCGTGGTGCTGCTGGCTGGCTGCTGCCTGCTGCTGCTGCTGGTTGGTGGTTGCTGCTGGCTGCTGGCTGCAGGCGGTGGCTGCCGCTGCTGCTGGCTGCTGCTGCTTGCCTGGGCTGCTGCTGCTTCTGTTGCTGCTGCTGCTGCTCCTAAGCAGCCAAGTTCAACCCCCCAGCTGCAGGCATACAGTTTTTCTTGTTTTCGCTGTTTAGTTAATCTTGGCCTTGGCATGGATGCGCTTGCAAGATGCAGGGCTTAGAGCATAGTACTTCACTGTTATATACAAGGTTGCGCTTTGAGCATAGGACTTGTACTTCACTGTTGCAAGTTGCCTACCCCTATTTCTAACCCAATGCATGCATAAGCGGGTGGTAAATTTACCCCCAGATTTGCTATAACCATACACCGGCTATTTCCTCAAGACACTCTATTCCTTGTACCTTTTACCAGTGCTTATCCTACACTACGGACGCCCTAGTGTGTACAGTCCTTGTGATGCCAGAAATGCTTACCCCTCTTTCCGACTCAAGGCATACATAAGCGGGGGGGCAAACTTTCCCACCAGATTTGCCATAACCATAAGCTGGCTATTTCCTCAAGACACTCAATTCTGTATACCTTTTACCAGTGCTTATCCTACACTACGGACGCCCTAGTGTATGTACAGTCCGTGTGATGTCAGAAATGCTTACCCCTTTGTCCGACCCAAGACATACAAAAGCGGGGGGTAAATTTACCCCCAGATTTACCATAACAGTAAACCTGACACTTTTGACAAACTGGACACCGATCACGCATCTTCATGCCTGCCAACGAGTGCACCCGGGTTGTTCCAATGTACCCTTCCCAGTCGGCGATGTCACATTTACATTCCTTAGCGCAAAGTATGTACATAGCAACCTTTCTCCCAAAACATGTAAACACTACATGCTTTGCCGACTATGTAAATAGTACATCGGTGCGCTTTGGCTAGCTTTCGACCTCCTCCCCCTGGCCTCAAGTTTGTGTTACACCACGGCTCTGTGGCTATTTGTTTGATTCCCAAACAACGTGTCCCTTTTTGTGAGGGCGGAGATCCACATGCTTCGCACTGAAGGTGGCTTGCCTGAACCGTAGAGCGCCATGCGACATGTTGGCGCACAATCCCACAGTTTCAAGGTTTGGCGAGGCCGCCATTTTAAAGTGTTCATAGTCATTCACAGTTTCACGGTGCCGTGTTGCAATTCACTGTATGAGCAGATTTGCTCGTCAACTCTCTTGGTGTTGCGGATGCCTGTTCAGTGCCCAACATCGAGGTCGGCGCAAATGCGGTTCCGAACGTACAATAGCCGTGATCTGAGATGTGCTTACGTACATCAGCAACGGACAAAAGGACAAAACATTGTAAGACTGCTGAACAATGAATGTTGCCCAGAGTAGGCTTTTGCATAACCGCCGGAGCCAGCCCTACTACCGATGCCCTCTTTATTACGTTTTCAGGGAGAAATACATAATTGGGCGCCAAACAAAGAAAAAATTCGGGGGCACCGGGGGCACCTCTAGTGTGTCCGTCACTCGCCTCTTTTGTTTTCATCCAACACTAATTGGCAAAATATGTATTGCTCGCTTGTGTTTGTTGGAGTTGTTTTTAAGATTTTTTTTAAATGTATGTCTTTCTGAACATTGTGTGTGTGTATGTAAGTTACTGTATAAAAGTTGGATTAGATTGACGAAGTCCGTTTCGATCACATGATACAATCTGTATTTATATGTAGAGCGTCTAGATGTATATATCGATACAAGAGACTATATTGAGAAAATGTTGCAACCTCAGACTTTTTGAGATCAGAAGAATTGAGTTTAATGGAGGGTTGAGAGTACTTAGGCTGTGGCCTTGGCTGCATGATGCAACAAGGCCAGACGAATGTCCGACGATGCACATGATTGCAACAAGATTGCCAAGTACTTGTTTCCAAACCCAAACCAAGGCCGGGCATCTTGCATGATGCATCCGCATCAACCCTGCATTTTGCGGAATTAAAATGCAAAAGCAGACACGATGAGATGGCGACTTATATAGACAGGAAGACTTCACTGACACCAAAGTTACTCAGACAAAGCAAGTATAGTTAACAAGGTGTGTGATCAAATCCTACCTGTTGAATGCCCTTTTCCCATCTACATTTGCCAAACAAGTACTGTGCCATTTGGTGATCAGCTTTTTTGGCAGAAGTTAAGCGCATCCGGCGGCGGCTCAGAGTGACATAAACATTATCGATTACCATGGACTGTTGGAACAGCTTGCAGAAAGCAGAGATTGAAGACACATTCACAAGCTTTGCATGTTTATATGAGATACATGCCCACAACAATCCCCACCTACAAACATTCGGCAGTATCTTCCGCAGAAAACTTTTGGACTTTGAAGACAATACATTTGGCTTTGTGGTTGCAAGGTACATGACAATTCACTTTCCTACTTGTTGACTAAATTTATGGACTTTCTACACCTTGAAGGTCATTGACTTCCAATCCTGACTCCTGGTGGCCTGGCTCGAAGTTTGCATGCCTCTGTGGGTGTCGGAACTCATTAGATTTTGGAGCAGCACAGGTTGGTTTGGTTTGTTTTGCCCCTCTCATTGCAGTTCATCCCTTCCACACCTGGCCTGCTTTCTGACCACATGATCGTTGGCTTTTGCATCGGATCTCTGGCCACTTCAGTTCTGTATCTTTGGCCCCTTCGTCACCTCCTGTCGGACCTGAGCGGTCCTGGCACGACACCTGTGCGCCTTTTGGCATACTTGCGTGAGCGCCGCCGTGCCCCTTGCAATCTTGACTGAAGCTGTTGGTGTGACAGTCCGGGCACTACGTGGAATTGCAGACTCTTTGGACACTGCGGTTGGTTGTGCTGAGGCTTCTCTTCGCCCTGCGTTCTTTGAAGGGCTGCGGAATCCTTCTCTTCTGACACTGTTGACTGGGACATCACTCCGGCCATTGAAGCTGGTGCTGGGCCTGCGGGCTCACGACGTGGAACTCCATTCCTCCTGACCATTGCCTCACCGCTCTTGGACTGCCAAGGCCACTTGGAGAGGGCCAACGGAAAGATGATGACCTTGAAGGATGATGACCTTGAAGGTTGGGACGATGCCAACGGAAAGAACATTTGACAGCAACCTCAACGTTCGAGAAGCCCTGTGAGCAGAAAACGCAAAGTCTATCCGTGGCTGAAAAGAAGTGTTCGAAGAAGGGCGTGCGCTTGCTTGGCGTGCCACACGGAAGCAGAAGTATCCATTGATGTTGGCTGCGGCGGGCTCAGACCTGAGACTCAGGTGCGTGTCGCTTTGTTTGGCGCGGCGGCAAAAGGGTACATCAGAATCATAACATCAGGCTAGTTAAGGTGGCGGTCTACCTGAGTTCGCCACCATTCAGCAACCATGCAATTCAGAACAGGCCAAATTGATTCCGCTCGGTGTGGGCTTCAGGCCCGGAGCAAGCAAAAAAACACACATGATGAGACCGTGTGCGCGTGAGCGCATTAATGGGAGCGTGCGTGTGACTGCGTGCGTCTCAGGGCGCGCAATGGAGAGAGCACGCGTGAGAGGACGCTCGCAAGAACACGCGTGTTGAAAACGCGCGTAAGATCACGTGTACCTGCGCGCGCGTGATCGCATGGCAAGTGCAGCTTCGCCAGTGTGTTCGGCAACCAGGCCGCTTCCAAAAACAATTGCGAGGTGCCAAAAGGAAGCTTGCCGATACTTTCAGAAAATTGAAAGACCGGCTTGACGTTCAAAGTTCACTGTTCCCTAGGAAAGTTTTTGTTGAATCTCAACGAAAAATAAAGGAATATTATATAGACCGAATCGAAGACTTCGAAAATAGCCTTTTCCTTTTTTAGAAAGGAGTTATATCGGGAAGGCTAAGAGCACTGCCTGGGCCAGAGCTCCGTGAATGCACCCCCATCCATTGGGCAGAAGTAGGCTGTGGACCATGTCGTCAAGCTTTTTCGAAACGGACTTTGATGCTCAACAGAACTGCTCAATTAATTTGGCCGGAGCTGTGCCATGTCTACCCTATGGCTGGCGGCCTTGATAGCTGGGTTTGTCGTGCTCTATGTGAAAGTGAAGGCAAAGTGCTCTGCAATTGTTCCTTTTGACTGCGGTTTGCGCCAGCCAGACACCTTTGCGCAGGAACACATCCTCCGCACTTTGGAGCATGAGGGTGGCCGGATTGTTCCCATTTGGGTTTCGAAAATGCTGCGGGAGGCGCTGGGCCGCTGCTCGACGCAGCCGTTGACTCTGTCAGACCTTGGCTGGTTCAAAACAATAGTCAGTAGTTGTAGTAGTCGTAGTAGTAGTCGTCGTCGTCGTCGTCGTAGTAGTAGTAGTCGTAGTAGTAATAGTAGTAGTAGTAGTAGCAGTTGTTGTTGTTGTTGCTGTTGTGGTGGAGTAGTAGAAATAGTAGTGGTGGTAGTAGTAGTAGTGGTAGTGGTAGTAGTAATAGTAGTCGTGGTAGTAGTAGTAGTAGTAGTAGTAGTAGTAGAAGTAGCCGCAGTAGTAGTAGGAGTAGGAGTAGCAGTAGCAGTAGGAGTAGTAGTAGTCGTAGTAGTAGTAGTAGCAGTAGCAGCAGTAGTAGGAGTAGGAGTAGCAGTAGGAGTAGTAGTAGTAGTCGTCGTAGTAGTAGTAGTAGAACTAGTAGAACTAGTAGAACTGGTAGTAGTAGCAGCAGTTGTTGTTGCTGTTGTCGTGTAGCAGTAGTAGTAGTGGTGGTGGCGGTGGCAGTAGTTGTAGTCGTAGTAGTGGTCGTAGTGGAGTAGTAGTAGTAGTAGTAGTAGTAGTAGTAGTAGTAGTAGTAGTAGTAGTAGTAGTGGCAGGAGTAGTAGTAGTAGTAGTAGTAGTAGTGGTAGTAGTAGTACTAGTAGTAGTAGTCGTAGTAGTAGTGTGGTAGTGGTAGTGGTAGTGGTAGTGGTAGTAGTAGTGGTAGTAGTAGCAGTAGCAGTAGCAGTAGTAGTTGTCGTCGTCGTTGTTGTTGTCGTACTAGTAGTAGTAGTAGTAGTAGTAGTAGT